GCTCGCATTGTGTTGCTTGCGCTCTCAACATTTCTGCCTGTGCGCGCTCTTTTTTTTTTTTAATATTAAACTTTATTACGAAACAGTATACAGAACATGTATACAACCAGAACAAAATTAACATATACCAGGGGGTGTAATACAAAGAATTACAAACATTCAGATAATTTGTAATTACTACAAATAGTAATAGCTTTCATAGCCTTTTTGTTAAGTGATCCACTAATCAATTTTATGTAACATAAAACATCATTATAGTAATGTTTAAAATTAGGCTTTTTGTTACTATATTTGCATTTGTGAAAATAAAATTTAGCTAATATAACTAACAAGTTTATTATAAAGTAAACATCTTCTTTTTTTTGCCTTCGAAAGAAACAAAATACAACATTTCCCCATTTCACAGTAAAGTCTTTATAGAGATGTCCAGCAATGAATCTACTGAAGTCTTTCCAAAATGTTCTAGCGTATGAACAGATCCAGAAGAGGTGTTGCACAGTCTCAGGATGGCTTCCACAAAATCCACAGTTCACATTTATGTCCCTTTTGAACTTTGTCATATAATGATTAGCAGGATAAAATTTATGCAGTATTTTAAATGAGACTTCCTTCACTTTATTCGTTACCAGATACTTGTTAGGAATTGTCCATACTCTTTTCCAGTTAATGTCACTTACAAAGAAATTCCAATAAGATACCACATGTGGAATAGTTAGAGATTCTGTCTGGAACAAAGCACGAATATTCTTATTACTTTTACTATGGTTTGTTAGACAGATTCTTCCTATGTATGAATCTAAAGGGTTTGGGAAAGAAACAGGTGATATGGAAGGTTGAATACCTTTAAAAAGCATTATAATACCCGTAGGTATTGCATCAAATAATATGGCATATTATTTGGGTGTGGCTGGAAATTTATAGGTGTTTAAGAATTCTGAATAGGACATAAGCTGCCCATTAGGATTAAATGCCTGGCGCTCAACCCTTTCTGTACACCGTTATATTTGTGCCACAAAACCAGCCAATCACAGACTTGGATGAAAAAAAAATCTGATTGGCTGTTCTGGTCTCCAATCAGCTCGAAATGAGGAAATGCAATATCCCCGAATTATGTCCATAAACAAAGGATTTTAAAATTTACCTTTTTTTTTCTTTTTACTTTTGTAAAGTAACCTAAAATTATTATTGCCTCAAAGGGATTTATACTCTATGTTTTTTTTAATGTTGTTCTAAGCAGCCGACAAATTGTTAATGCATGATTAAAGTGAATTATTAATTTATCATTTCTGGTTTTACTATAAACAGACCGGGGACGCTTGTGTTTTCTTTCTTCCTAAAATGATCAGATAAGATTTGATTAAAAGAAATAATG